CCACCAACAATGGCACTAATGTACAGTGTGCGGTAGATACATTATCGGGGGTTCCCTGAGGCTGGAAAGTTATTTCCTCTGTGTTAGGTTGATCTAGATAAAAAAAAAATAACTCAAAGCTAGACTCTGGTCAGCGTGTACAAAATGTCCTTTGGTAGCTTTTACAGAGAAACTTGCATACTATATTCATAGTTCCGTAAAGTGGGTAGGCCTTTACTGTCCTCAAGTACAGCACAGAACCACTTGTTCTACATTATACATGATGACGTCAAAGAGGTGACCGCACAACCAGCGATGGATGAGGACCAACGTAATGGGGCAGTCATACGGTGGAGAGGAAGCTTGCAGGAGCAAGGAATACGATTTTTCTCTGGTATAGCCCCAAGACTTAACCCCTTCCCGCCGGCGCCTCCCAGCCCTTTAGGAGTTTCAGAAGGCAGGGCGGGGTTTAGGGATCATGTGACCGCTGTGACGCATCATCACGGTGGTCACATGATCGGGAAAGGTCCCGATCGAAAGAGCAGACCGGGACCTTGCCATGAGTACCGGACATGTGTGCTGGGAGCGCGCAGGGTGTGCGTTCTCAGCACATATGTTTTTTTGTTACTTGCACGCAAATGTGCAGCCGCTCAGCGTCTAGGTCCAGACGTTGGGAGGCCGCACATTGGTGTGCTGCTGGCGTGAAGAGGTTAAAGTGGTAGTAAACACTGCTTTTGAACACTTACCTGTAGGTACAAGAAATATCTCTTTAAATGTTTAGTTCATTGTCTGTGTAGCCGGTGAGATCGCTGGTACATGCGCTCTCAAGAGACAGCATACTCAGAGCTCTGCCGTGGTCGTGACTTCATCATGGCTCACCCATTCAAATGACCGGAGACTGCAAACCTGGAAGGAAGACCGGATGAGGATAGAAGCCTTTGCCAGTGGTGACAGTGTGCCACTGGAGGGCTTCGTTTTAGGGTGAGTGTACAATCCAAGTGCACACGTTCCTGCATTAAAAATGGCGGTGTATATACAGTTGTGTCCAAAATTATTCAACCCCCAATGCTGTAAAGGGGTTTAGGGACTATAGTGTACATTTGGAATTGTATTCAGAATCAAATCCTACAAGGACGTTGTAACTACCCAAATGCAACTAAAATGACATCAATTGTTTATGTAATACAGTAGTAAATGGTTCTTATGTGGTTTCTTCATTGCCACAATTATTCAACCCCTTAAAGACTACCACTCTGAAGAACAGAGGTTCATACAGGTGCTTTCCATCAGGTATTGAAAACACCTGTGGATGTCACCGAGCAGCAATCAAGCATAATAAGCACCAATTAGGCAGCTTTAAAATGACTGTGATACTCAGCTCCTTCTAGACATTTACTGGTGTGGTTACAAACATGGTGAAGGCAAGAGAATGGTCCAGGAAGACAAGAGAAGAGGTGATTTCTCTTCACAGGAAGGGCAATGGCTATAAGAAGATTGCAAAGATGTTAAACATACCAAGAGACACCTTAGGAAGCATCATTCGCAAATTCAAGGCAAAGGGCACTGTTGAAACGCTACCTGGTCGTGGCAGAAAGAAGATGCTGACTTCGACTGCTGTGCGCTACCTGAAGCGTAGAGTGGAGAGAAGTCCCCGTGTGACTGCTGAGGAACTGAGAAAAGATTTGTCAGATGTGGGTACAGAAGTTTCAGCCCAGACAATAAGACGCACACTGCGTAATGAAGGCCTCCGTGCCAGAACTCCCAGGCGTACCCCCTTGCTGTCTCCAAAGAATAAGAAGAGTCGACTGCAGTATGCCAAAAGCCATGTGGACAAACCACAAAAGTTGTGGGATAGTGTTCTGTGGACTGATGAAACAAAATTAGAACTGTTTGGGCCCATGGATCAACGCTATGTTTGGAGGAGGAAGAACAAGGCCTATGATGAAAAGAACACCTTGCCTACTGTGAAGCATGGTGGAGGGTCAATCATGCTTTGGGGCTGTTTTGCTTCTGCAGGTACAGGGAAGCTTCAGCGTGTGCAAGGTACCATGAATTCTCTTCAGTACCAGGAGATATTGGATGGAAACGTGATGCAGTCCGTCACACACCTGAGGCTTGGGAGACGTTGGACCTTTCAACAGGACAATGATCCCAAGCATACCTCCAAGTCCACTAGAGCATGGTTGCAGAGGAAAGGCTGGAACATTTTGGAGTGGCCATCGCAGTCACCAGACTTAAATCCGATTGAGAACCTCTGGTGGGACTTAAAGAAAGCAGTTGCAGTGCGCAAGCCTAAGAATGTGACTGAACTGGAGGCCTTTGCCCATGAAGAATGGGCGAAGATACCCGTAGATCGCTGCAAGACACTTGTGTCAAGCTATGCTTCACGTTTAAAAGCTGTTATAACTGTAAAAGGATGCTGTACTAAGTACTAAGATTGAATGTCACTTGGGGGTTGAATAAAACTGATAATGCTGTGAGCACAGAAAAGACATTTGTGGTTATTTCATTATAACTGTTATGTTATATTTGTCTGACCTACAAGTGCCTCTTTAATGTAAATGTAAGCAAGATGACTGAATGATCAAAAGCAATGTCAAACTGGCCAAAACACTCAATTTCAGTGGGGGTTGAATAATTTTGGACACAACTGTAAGTGGGTGCTGCAGCGACTGTTGGCTGGAACCAAACAGAATCAGCAAGGGAGAATGTCACCAGCACACCGAGGATCACCAATATGGGTCCAAACGTTTTAATGAACAATCACATAGTTACAGCAAGGCAACGTTTTGGAGTCTCGCAGGATGTGACCAATGCCTGATGAAGGGGTCCTGCGAGACTCCGAAATGTTGCCTTGCTGTAACTATGTGATCGTTCATTAAAACATTTGGACCCAAATTGGTGATCCTCGGTGTGCTGGTGACCTTCGTTTTAAGGTAAGTCTCAATGTGCTAGTATGCGATGTATAGTAACATATGGTATTATTACCTTGCAGGGTTTTTCTTTTGTTTTTTTTTTCTTCAATGAAACTTTACTACCACACAGGGGCGGACTGACCATTTGGAAACTTGGGCACTGCCCGAGAGCCTGAGGTCAGTAGGGGGCCCCATTAGATGCCCCTGGTACCTTTTTCATAGGCTTTTTTGAGTTTGGGCAAGGACACAGGGGCCCATGATCCCCTATTGCCTGGGGGCCCCATGAGTTGTCAGTCCGCCCCTGCTACCACGTTAGATTTATTTCAGCATTGCTGCAAAAGTAGGGAAGCTAACAAAGGACTGGAGTCCAGCTTTAAAAATGAGCCAGCCTGTAAAGAAAAGGCCTTGCTGTGCACTTACCTGTCCTCAGTGGTGTATTTAGGTTTCATGCTGCCCTAGGCAATACAAATATTGGCTCCCCCCATTGACCAACAACACCCCAGCCCCCCACCTGAGAGAGCCTTCCATTACCCCTGCCCATACACTGGCAACCCCCACCGCCACCCCGACAAGAGATAAGACACTCACCTTCACAGCTTCGGACATCCCTGGGAACAAGAGTCAGGCTCTGCATACGCTGTCAAGCAGCCTGCAGCCTCTCTCAGATCCCACCTGGTCCGCGTGCTGCGTGTGTCCCTTCTTCCATCCCTTCTTTCAGGGGACAGCAATGCCCCCCTGAAAAATGCCGCCCTAGGCAAATGCCTTGTTTGCCTTGTGGTAAATACACCCCTGCCTGTCCTGCCACCGCTGTCCAATCAGTGGTGAGAGATGTGCGGATTAACACTTTTCTTTACAGGCTGGTCCTTTTTTTTTTTTTTTTCTAGATGCAGTCAGTTGGAAGTGGGATCCCCTCATAATGGCTGCAGTAGATGCGCACAATCCTTAACTCCTCCAGTCTCACTAGCAGGATCCCAGAGACATGAGAAACTTTTGTGGTTTGAAGTGAACCTACCATGGTAAAAGTACGGGGGCTGCCACTACTAATGTTCCCCTGAAAATGCTGTCTAATGTTTTGCTGTTCTGGAACAAATATGCGGGTCAAAAATATAGGAAGTTCTAAGGTGCGTACTTCCTTCAAGCCAGTGACTCAAAGTATAAAAGCCAACAAATCATTGTCCATTTGATTGTATTTTCCAGGTGTGGACAATTGATAGGCAGACTTTGTCAGCTGACAATTTCTGGATCTGAGGGAGTGGTCCCAATACCTGGAGGTGTTCCAGGACCTGTGTTACAGGTGGGGCATGCCAGATATGAACCTCCAGGTTCAACAACAATTGAAGTTTAGCAGTAGATTGGATTAGTGAATGGTAGATTAGTACTTTTGATCTTGTTGTCTTTCAAAAGCTGGATGAAATATCCCAGGACCTGCAAATGTCTGACAACCAGAAACAGTTTTAGAGAAAAACATTAATAACAGCAGCCTCCATGTTTCAGGACGGGCCCCAGCTTTCTCTAAAAAATGAATCTCTGGGTATATTCAACTTCACTCCAGGGTATGAGAGAGCTGGTCTTCATGGCCAGAGCACGCTTGCCTTATTCTCCTACGTATGTTGTATGTGGAACTACAAGACCTTAGAATAATGAACACTGTACATTAATAGGAGAGGAGGTGTCTTGGTTTAAATGAATCCAATGAATTGGGATGCTATAAGTGGTGGGTCCTCCTCACTCATGGAGAACATTGGATGGATGTAAATCAAACTTTGCTAATATAAACTTCTTTCCACAGGGAACAGATGAATTATTGACCTGTGTCTCTAATAACTGTTGTACCCTGAGGTCAGAAGGGGCTGGTGCAGGACATTAACTGAATGAGCCCTTTTAACAAAACCCCAGTGAAGAGTCACAGAGAACAGAGAGGTAACAGAGAGGTAACAGATAGATCCCACAGGGTAACGAGTCTTGCAGCAGCCACAGTTCTGACTTTACATATTATTTATGTTTAAAGTTCTGCTTATTTGCACTTTAAAGTCCATCTGAGTAACAGATTTCCACTCCAGGGATCACCTTAATGTCTTTGAAGCTGACACAAAGTCCTTGCAGCTTCTAAATGTTGGGGAAATGGTCAAACTTCTGTGGACGAGGTTTGTTTTTCCCCTCTGGGGCTGGAGAGACTCCATTTCCGGGAATATGAGGCAGAAGTTGAGTCTACAAAGAGAAAATACACACGAGTGGGCCACATGAAATAAACATGTTATGAGGTGGGCGAGGGTCTACATTTTATTTATTAAGGTCCAGAGTATATAAACTGACCTGTACAACTATAGCCTACTGTGGACATACATGGACCTCTAGGGATCTTCTTGTAGTTGCTAGGGCACCCTTGATGAATAAGCAATTCTGCCCCTCAGATTTGTAAACACTAACTCTGGTGATCTTTTTAGCTATCTATAAAGAGGGACATTCTTCTCATTGACCACCAATGTAAGGAGCATTCTTCTCACTGACCACCAATGTAAGGACCATTCTTCCCACTGACCACCAATGTAAGGGACAATCTTCTCACTGACCACCAATGTAAGGGACATTCTTCTCACTGAACCCCAATGTAAGTGTCATTCTTCTCACTGACCACCAATGTAAGGAGCATTCTTCCCACTGACCACCAATGTAGGGAGCATTCTTCTTTCTGACCAACAATGTAAGGAGCATTCTTCTCACTGATCACCAATGTAAGGAGCATTCTTCCCACTGATCACCAATGTAAGGAGCATTCTTCTCACTGACCCCCAATGTAAGGAGCATTCTTCCCACTGATCTCCAATATAAGGAGCATTCTTCCCACTGACCACCAATGTAAGGAGCATTCTTCCTACAGACCACCAATGTAAGGAGCATTCTTCCCACTGACCACCAATGTAAGGAGCATTCTTCCCACTGATCTCCAATATAAGGAGCATTCTTCCCACTGACCACCAATGTAAGGAGCATTCTTCCCACTGATCTCCAATATAAGGAGCATTCTTCCCACTGATCACCAATGTAAGGAACGTTCATCCCACTGACCACCAATATAAGGGTCATTCTTCCCACTGACCCCCAATGTAAGGAGCATTCTTCCCACTGGCTACCAATGTAAAAGTAATTATTCTCATTGACCATTAACGTAAGGAACATTTTTCTCACTGATCACCAAAGTCAGGAGCATTTTTCCTACAGGACACCATTGCAAGGAGCATTCTTCCCACTGACCACCAATGTAAGGGGCATTCTTCCCACTGACCTCCAATGTAAGGAGCATTCTTCCCACTGATCACCAATGTAAGGGACATTCTTCCCACTGACCTCCAATGTAAGGAGCATTCTTCCCACTGACCACCAGTGTAAGGAGCATTCTTCCCACTGACCACCAATGTAAGGGGCATTCTTCCCACTGACCTCCAATGTAAAGGACATTCTTCCCACCAACCACCAATGTAAGGGCCATTCTTCCCACTGATCACCAGTTTGATGAACTGTTTGCTGTGGACGTAGTAATTATTGTCAAAGGTTCCCTGGGATCTGTAAGTTATTTCAAACGTTCCTCAATATTGAAAAAAAAAAGGTGAGAAAGGCATTTATGTGTGCTGAGAAGCAATATCTGACAGGAGGAGAGAAGTGACCTCACTGGTATGCTGCTATCCCTTCATTGTCCAATCACAGGCAGGGAGCGGGGAGGTGACCTAGCTTCTTGGATAACTGCAAGTAGAATAATGTCGGGTCACTGGACATGCTGCCTCACAGGGCTGTGTAAATGTGAGGCCCCAGATGGACAAAATTAAAGTTTTTAGCAGATAGGCTCCATATGTACATTTACCTATTTATTAATCTGTTTGCTTGGAGTTCAACTTTAAATTATAATCTTTAAAAATTGCTGTTCAGGGATTTGGTCCCATGATCCCTTGTCATGGATTAGCCATCTGATTCTTCCTAAATTCTAATCCACAGCATGGGACCTGACAGTTGCTGCTCGTTCCAGAGCCTGACCTTACAGCTCCTAAACATGAGGGATTCTCTCTCCTTAGAGACTTGCCAAGTGGCCTCCACAGTGAGAAAAGGAAATGTCTGATCAGGGGCGGACTGACCATTTGGAAACTCGGGCACTGCCTGAGGGCCCGGGGTCAGTAGGGGGCCCCATGAGATGCCCCTGGTACCTTTTTCATAGGCTTTTTTGAGTTTGGGCAAGGACACGGGCCCCATGACCCCTATTGCCCGGGGGCCCCATGAGTTGTCAGTCCGCCCCTGTGTCTGATTGACCTTTTTTAATTTGGAAATTATACAGTAAGGCTTCACCTGTTGCCTCCTCCGCCCCTTCCTATTTCTCTTTTCTGGCTCCTCACGGGTGGGGTTTAGGTAGGCACTCTCCAGGAGCTGCTCACAAGTCAGCCTGTCATCAGGATCCATCCGCAGGCAGCCCTAAAGGAGAGGGGGAACAAATGTGAGTGAACCTGTTCAGTAAGAAGGCAGTAATGTCACTACACAGTGCAACACACAGTGTACTCCAAATATAACATGATGGTGGAGGCATTAAAGTCCTCAGTTCTCCCTTACATCAGAGTCTGCAGAGTCCCCACTTACAGTGCAAGGTAACTCCGAGAGTTGAGATGTAAAGGGGAACTCTGCAGATTCAGATCTAAAGGAAAACTCTTTGGATTCAGATGTAAAGGTGAACTCTGCGAATTAAGTTGTAAAAGGGGGAACTCTGTGAATTCAGATGTAAATGGAGACTCTTGTGATTAAATCCATGTCATTAGAAATGTTATTTAATCACAAAATATATGTATAGTGTATACTAAAAAAAAAAAAAAAAAAAATTATTTGCACCACTAAAGTGCTGCGTACTGAATATTTCAGTGGAGTATGGGGGTACAGTCCATCTTGTACAAGGCCTTGACTGCTTCTTTAGATACATATTTGACATTACTTGCATTGTGCATTCGGTCAATTATTTAAGTTTCAGTATTCATGGTTCATTTCTATGTTTTCATGTTTCTATATATAAATAAATATACTGTATATGAGGGGTGTTCAAGTCAAACTGGGACTTTTGAGTTTATATAAAAAAGGAGTGGAAACTGCATTTATTTTTTTGCATACTTGCCTGCTACACTCATACACTTATCCCAGCGTTTAACTGATGCCCGGAAAGCTTCATCATAGAAAGATTTGTCAGTACGCCTGAACCATCCTAGGACAGCCGGCTTCACTTCCTCATCATTGAGTTCACCATTCCCACAGAAAGATTTGTCTCTTGTGCAATTTCATTACAGGTTCTGCGTCGATTATCGAGGATCAGGCATTCGATGTGCTGAATGTTCACAGGAATGACTGCTGTGGGCTGGGAACCACCGGGGCCGGGATCATCACCCACGGGCGTATGGCCATCTTTGAAACATTTACACTATTCAAATGTCTTACTGCGGCTGAGCGTCTCATCCCTGTACTGTGCTTGCAGATATACAAGGGTTTTATTCCTTCGTTCACAAGAAACATCATCACCACACGCTGTTCCATGAACACACTAACACTGTTGTCCGCCATCTTGATTAATGGTCTCTGGACTGGTCCGCGACGTGCCCCGCCTATCAGTAATAGGACACACTCGCCACTTACTACTTCATGTGGTACCACCACACTAGCATCCCTTTTTATACCTTTAAAATTTGAGAAGTCCCGGTATGACTTGAATACACTCACGACCACTTTATTAGGTACGTCTTGCTAGTACCAGTTTGGAACCCCTTTTGCCTTTAGAACTGCTTTAATTCTTCATGGCATAGATTCCTCAAGGTGTTGGAAACATATGGTCCGTATTGACATGAGTTACTGTTGCCTTTCTGTCATCTCATCTGCCCATTCTCCTCTGACCTCAACAAGGCATTTTTTATCCACACAACTGCCACTCACTGAATGTTTTCTCTTTTTCAGACCATTCTCTGTAAACCCTAGAGATGGTTATGTGTGAAAATCCCAGTAGATCAGCCCGTCTGGCATCTGGCACCAACAACCATGCCATGTTCAAAGTCACTTAACCACTTCCCGTCTGGCCCATGTACAAAAACACCGGACGGTGGCAGTGCAGGAGCGGGTTACTGTTCCTAAACAGTGCCCACATTTTCAAGCTGTGCGCGTTCCCTGGGAGCACGTAGCACCATGATCTGGTGCCCGCTGTGACCAGAGGACACAGCGGAACACCGATCGCTGTATGGGACCTCTGTGTGAGGTCCCCATCATGTGATCACTGATTGGCCAATCAGTGATCACATGAATAGTAGTAAGCAAGATGTCACTTCTGACATCATTGCTTACTACTAGCGAAATCTGTGAATGATCGCAGAGGTCACATGGTATAGAGCTATTCACAACAGCCTTGTACCATGTGACAAGCTGTGACTAATCACAGCTCTCACAGTATTTCTCAATGGCTGCAAGAATGCAGCCAGAGAGGAAAAAATTTCTGATTTTACATCCTGTATGGGTGTAAAAGCAATCAGTGTAAAAAAAAAAAATTAAAATCTTCCTCACTCCCCACAAGTAGTACAGTGTCACTATGGTGACACTGTACTGCTAGGGTGACAGTATATTAAAAAAACTATGGACCACCATAACTATGATGCACAGCTACTGCTGTACACAGGACAATATCTTTTGGCACAATGACCTAGGAAGGTTGGTGCTCCCTGTGACTGTACATGCAGCTTTTTGCTGCCATCTGTTGGCGTGCTACAAAACTAGTCTCAAAACCTTTTCATAGCACCTCGTATATTAAAAAGCCAAGATTTTTGTCTGCATTCTTGCTACAGAATAATCTGAGTTATGTATTAATGCAGAATTTCCCAGAATCCACTTGGAAAGACTAGACTACCTTCATGAAGGCCATGGCTGCAGGTTGGTTATGAGGGAACTTCTCCTCCAAGGTCTCCTGTGGAAGGAAATTATGAAATTTAAAATTAAACAAAAAATTAAAGAAAGAAAAAGAAATCACATTGGCTTTTGCTTTAATTCCTTCTTCAATTCTGGTCTATGATCAGCAATAGACACCAGTAAAAGATGAACACGTGGCAATGGCCGCAGCAAAATATAAAGTGTGGAAGGGAAGTAGTCAGAAATGGGAAATTGAAGGATGCAAAGGAAATATTTAACACAGAGAAAATGTGAATAAGGCTTTTAATGTGCAATCTAGTAAACATTTAACATTTTTAGATATTATGCTAAAAAACATGGAGCAAAATGTCTCTGTTGTAGGACCTTGTAGGACCTTTTCTATGCTCTCCTCTGATGGTTGTTGAAATGTTGTTACTAAGAGCATGACTTTTCACTCATTAGACCACAAGCATTCATAATCCCCCTTCCAATGATACCAATATCAATTTAACTGGACAGAGTAAAAAAGATAGAATGGGTTTAGCTCCAGGGGTGTTGGTTGACCCCAAAGTCAAGAAAGTCAAAGCCTTAGGATCAAAGTGAAACTAAGATCAGAGGAGCACCCAGAAGAGGTTTGATGCTTAGTTTTCTTACAAGGTAACCACAGATCTGGTTACATACCACGTCATCTGGATCAGGCTCTGGGATACTGGCACCATGGAAGAACTCGTTACTATGGAAGATGTACTGGTGTCTGGGGATCAGCTTTCCTGTGGGGTAAATCCCAAAAAATACATCAACAATTTCAACTAAGAAACCCATCAAAGCTTTTTGACCTGCACTGAAAACTCTGCATATATTAAAGTTGAAGTATAATGAATTCATATAATACCTTCCCTTGTTCTCTCTTCTTCCACATACAATTAAAAATGTCCAACCAAATCGTGTTTTCAAGAAATACCTCTTTTGTGTCCAGTAGCTTCATCACTGGGTCTTTCTGTTGGTCCTTGCTCTGTAGTAAGATCATGTTTGGGGGGAGGAAATATTGACTTACGTTAAAACCTGACTCTAGATTGGTGTTAGCCGGAAGACAGCAAGTCAGACAAAAGCTTCCAGAATGGGACAAGATGAAGACCTTTGGACACCAAATAATTAGAGGCTTCCAAAAGTAAAGTTTTGCTTTTCCCATGCAAAAGATTGCCTTTACTGCCCTTTTTTTCTGGCTCTATATTTTCACCTTCCTTTTTCTCCTCTTCTGTTCTATTCAGCCACCAGGCCTGAAGAGTAGAGCATCTGTATATACTTGTGACTTTTAGAAGTTACAAAGGGCTAAGCACTCTCTCCACTACTATGACAGCAGTGGGTGCTTGAACAGTACAAAGCACCAGGGCTTTCACATGGAAGGCACGGGAGTAAGTCACATGTCCCCCATACCATACCATACCATACCATACCATACCATACCATCTTTATCTATTTACTCATGGTGGCTGAATGGAGAATTGTAGGAGTGAATAAAAGGTATCTATGTACAGCTGTGGAAGTCAGTAGTTGAGATATGGTTCCTATCAGCCCCTGATTTGAGGGGTCTGTTCCTGACAAACACACAGCCCTGGTGATGTCCCCAGCAATGTGGTACTCGTCCTCAGCTATCTTACACTGCTCAATAGCCATGTTAGGAATGGTACCAGTATGAATTGTGGGTGTCACCCCAATATGGCACTGCTGGGGACAATGGCAATCATTGGCTTTCCCTCAGGCTGGCATTCCTAGGCACTGCAAAGTCATATTGATTTCTTGTTGATTTTGTGGGTGTTGCTAATAATTGGGGTGTACGTTAAGTGAATCTGTTAAATTACCCTGCTTTGGCAAAGCAAAGTTTCCCTTTAAAGAGAACCTGTAGATATGATGAATGTGAAGGTAGAGTGTTGGGCAAGTAGTTCCAGTGATGAAGGTGTTAGTGTATTTTGGAGATTTCATGTTGAAGACCTACTCTAGACCTGCGTGGACCTACAGTATACTGTGTGCGCCAATGGTGGTGCCAGCAGATCAGACTGATGAAGAGCTAGGTGTGACAGGCACAAATGTCAGCACAGATCAAAATAGCACAGAATGCAAGTGATGATTGTAAAGATGATACAAGCTTTGCATTAATTTTAGAGGCATGGCAATATATAGAAATTGGTAACAAAATGTTTACATTACAATAAGTCAAGCAGAAGTCTTACAAGATCTCAGACTAAAGCATGAAGCATATGGATGGCCAGAATTACTGACAATGCATCAGGTCCCCCATTCTTACCAAGCGTTCTAATGATGAGGTAGAGTTGGTCCACATCAGATTTTCCTGGCCACAGAGGTTGTCCAGACAGCATCTCAGCAAAGACACAACCTATGGCCCAAACATCAACCGCTGCCCCATACTGCGTGTCCCCAACCAGCAGTTCTGGAGCACGATACCATCGTGTAGCCACATAATCTGTATAATCATCTCCAGGCCGAGCTGTAGAGGAAAAATAAACATGATGAGTATATAAAGTGCAAAAGAGAAACAGAGCGGAGTAATCTAGAATAATCTGATGCCAGTTTCAGTAGGCTGCCCACTATATGAAGCTGACATAAATATGACACAGTAAGCAAGCATAGTAATCCCCATACACATGCCACTATAAAGATAAACTGCAATGCCTCCATATGTTGGGTAGGTGCAGCATGGTACGGCAGCAGAAAGCACACAGAGTTCCGGATTGCAGAAAAAGATGTATTGCAGAACTTGTAAACAGTACAACAAGCCTGGTGGGGAAGTTCACCTGACTGGGACACTCACAACAGTCCAGACTAGCGAGTCTGTGGCATGTAGGCCCAAGCTGTGGACAGCATCTGACAAGGAGAACTCCTTAGCAACTATATACAGATGGGGTCAAAACAGTATCTCCTTTAAGAGCATTCCAGCTCTCTGGTGTATCTCCTCAGACCCCAGATGAATCCTCCTCTTCACCCAGTTGCACTAAGGGTATTCCCTGGGTAAGGGGCCCAGAAACTGCAAATTTAGTACAGCAGCCCCAGATGAGAAGCTAGTTGGGTTTTCAACCTGACTGCCCTCTCCCCTTATCCGGCCCAGGGGGTGTGAGAGTATTCACAATGTCCTCTCCTGATAGCTCAATAGGTTGGTGGCTGCCTTCAGGCCTTTCACTGGGCTGGTTCCTTTCCTGCTTCTCAGGATTTCCTCTCTTGGAGACGGTGGTACAGTGGAGATCCTCTTCTTCAGCACCTGGCAGTAGGTAGGCCCCTTCCCTAGGCCCCCTCCCAGGCTGTACACTCCAGCCTCTCACTCCAACTTCCACCCACACTCACTGCCCCTCTGCACAGGCTCTGCCACTTTTGAGGGTTGCCCTGGACACTATGCCCAGCCTCCTGCCATGAGATTGGTCAGGGTACCTCAAACATGCAGATCTGAACTTCCTCCCTTCCTCCAGTCCTCCTCCAGAAAGCTCTCACGTTTCTGGAGAGGTGGGAGGGCTCCAGAAGCCCTGACCTGTTAGAGCCTCCCACCCTGTCCTGAGGTAACCTCACTCCCCAGGCTGACTCATCCCCAGGCTACTACTCAGCCTCTATCTAACAAAAACCTACCTAACTAACCTGGAGGGCATTACACTAAAAAGCAGGCAGCACAATAGGAAACATTCCAACCAAAAACGAAGGCCAAAGAGGGAACAGCATCATCTGTCAATGCAGCTTTTTGTACCTCAATAGATACTTATCAAATACTTACTTAGGATTCTTGCAAAGCCAAAGTCACAGAGTTTTATGACTCCTTGTTTGGTCAGTAGAATATTCTCTGGTTTGACGTCTCGGTGGATGCACTGCCAGAAAGCAAATAATATTTAAAGCATAGTAGATTAGTGGTTATCTCTTTTTCCTTACAGCACTAGGGTCTTTGCAAAAAATGCAGATTTTAACATGTATGCATAAAAATTAAACCATTGCCCTGATAAAGTGGTTAAGTACTTGTTTAGTAGGGATATGTCCACCAGAAGTTCTGCATGATACTTCTGGATGCTGTTACCCACCCAATGAGTGCTAGCCAAGAAACTATAGGAGCACAGTTTAAGTTTTGAGTAATTTATTTCCATTATCCTCATGTCCTACCATGTTCAAGTAAACCAATGAAAAGTGTGTTCAAGTCTGGACCTGCTTTTCTTCATAAACTCAAGTGTATGCAAGTGATACACCCTTGGAGGAAGTCCCCCATACAAGCTAAGTCCTTCTAGGTGGAGGAACTAATGAAACACTACAGGACACTAGACCAGTGGTTGTCAATGTATAAAGGTAAAGGGTCCTAAAATATGGTACCTGATGTACTGAGGACTTACTAGAGGAAATGGTCAGAAATTGTTCTACTCGGTCTGTTTGGTGGTTGGAGACTGAACTATGCTGTAGGAGGCATTTAGAGACTAGGGATGTGTTATATGGAACTGCTAGAGAAAACTGATATCAAAGACACCATTTACAATCAATGCTCCTACTAATGACTTCAGGGGACCAAGGGCTTCAAGCACCTAAGGGTTACACTCACAGGTTTGGCACCAGGGCACTAGATGGAAAAGCGGCCACTTAGCGGGAGCTCAAAATGCCCTATTGCCCTATGCTGCTACAACGTGGCAGTGTATTGGCTGCGAGGAAGGGTGTCAGCTCAGATAACCTTCCTCCTAAAACACCATTACACATGTTTAAGCTATTATGAGATTCAGGATTTGTATCACTGACATATCTACTTAAATTATTACAACCTGTTATTCTACTTACACTGTTTCTTATGGCAGAAGTTGACAGCTTGTAGGATCTGCTGTACAATGTTTTTTGTTGTTGAGTCAGGGACCCTGAAAAGGAAAGCCATATAAAGGGTTGTTAGACTTTGAAAACCGAGTTTCTATAGTGTTCCTGTTTTGTCCTTGAACTAGAGCAGTGCAAATTATGATGGCAATGCACAATAATGATAATACAGTCTCCTATTATTGTACACACAGCTTTGGAGTGTGTCTAAAGCCATTTACATCCGTTCCTGTGCTCCATAGGGGAACACAATCTAATGTACCTTTCACACTCAGGACAGCTTTACTACAAGCCATCAAAAATACCCTAAAAAGAATCATCCAACCCACCCGCTAGTGAAAAGACCTCCTTAATCCAAAATAACAATATGTGCCCTCCAAATAATAAATGTCCACACACATATAATCACAAAAAATATTAATTGAATAAGTGTCCAGTGTCTTAATAGTCCAAAACCAAAAAATAATGAAATACGTCCCACTTGGAATCACTTGTTTATAGTGTTGTAATCCTCAAAACAGCTTCCGCGGAAACCCTCAAAAAATCAAAAAAACTCAACATAGTGCATTAACTTAATAACTTTGAAAATAACACTCCATGCAACTTTCTAGGGCTGAAAGTTTTTTCCATTTAGAATCGTGTAGTTTATTGGGTTGTTTGGAGGATTTACCGCACTTTATATTTACTACAAGCCAGTCAACCTACCAGTATGGCTTCTAGATTGTGGGAGAAAACCCATAAAGAAATGGGAAGACCATGCTAACATCATACTGGCAGTGTCCAAGGAGGGCTTTGAACTCCAGACTCAGAGCTGCAAGACAAGAGTGCCATCCAGCTGCCTAGGATTAAATCAAACCTTTTAAAAGCATTATTCCTGACCAAGAACAACACTAACATGCCTACTATTCACTTTGATAGCCAGAAAGTCCTTTGTAAGCCTCCCTTTTTTAAGGGACTGACTTTTCCAACTTCAGCACTAAGCCTCATGGACAGTTGTTCGCTTCTCTAATTTAACTCTCCTTGGACAGGGGCAAGGTTTTTGGTAGAGATTTGTCCTCCTGGAGTCTCAGCTTCTAGTACTATAAAACAACTAGTTTCATCAGGGCACACAGAGGAGGGTTTCCTTGTTAAAACAGGTATTAGCAGTTATGTTATGCTGTCTGACAAGTAAAGTGTGGCTCTCTCATGGTTTTGAACATAAGCATCATTATTACTCTACTTGTCTATCGAGGTAAAGAGCAGTAACCGAGAACCGGGTTTCCTCATTCTTTTACTAAGATTTTATTAGGTTTTTTTGTATAGACATACAAAGTAATGAGAAGAAAAGAGCACAGACCAAGTACAAGAATGTCCTGAAGTGAAGAAAAATAACAACCCGGGGCCAAATCCCCCTATAAAACAAAAAAATCCTACACAATATGCAGGTCCACCAGATCTAAGAGTGGGAATATGATGATGGATAGATACAAAGAGGTCAGAAATAACACACCAGGCATTGTTAATACAACCAATCAAGCATCTGTGGATAGGCCAACATAACATACCATGGACTTCAAGGTAAATGCAAGGTATGGAAAAAGAAGAATAAAGAAAAGTAGAAAAAAAGAAACAACAGAGACCAGATAAGCAGGGTGGGAGGAAGAAAAGGGCAAGGGGGAAAAAATAGTAAAGGGGAAGATGGTGTCCACGAAGGAGGAGGCCAACCTTATAAACACAGAAATCTGCAGTCAAACCCACTGAGTCTGAGATATTCCACCCAGGAGGACCATACGTTAAAGAATTTGGTATGTGTATTGTTAAGAATGGCCGTAAATTTCTGGTTGATCATGGATCCTGGGATATGTTGTTTAACTTCCTCAAAAGATATTGTGGTTTGTCACCAGACTTTGGCCATCATCTGTCTCATTGCTAGAAAAATATGGTGGAACAATCTGCCTTTATGTTTTGTGAGACAGAACTTTCCTATTCAATAAATCTTCCCAGGGGTTTCATGGCCAGCTACAATAAAATAAAGATTTGGTCAAGTTATAGACACATATCCACAGCTGTTGGATCTCGCCAAATGTGGAACATGGAGCCAACAGAGGTACAATCTCAGAAACAACAACTGTGGGAGTCAGAATTCTTCTTTCTTATGTTACAATCACCTCTCCAGGGATCCAGCACTGGGTCTCTACTATGACATGGCCACTGGCACTTCTGGATTTCACTTGGAGCACTGGTGTTGTGTCAGGAGATAGTTCTCCTAATTGGCACTGTGGCCAATTGGGAGACAGCTCTCCTGGTTAGCATTGCCATTGCCTCGGAGTTCCAGCCAAGCATGGCTACACTTTAAGCCAAGTTCACCTGCTGCGGGTCCTTACCAATATCCTTATGCCTTCTCTATCCTCCTAGGGAGCCATCAGCCTCTGGGTATCGTGTGACTTCTAGAGTGACCTGTGCTCCCTGTGACTCCAGTGCACCCCAGAGCATCTTGTGTCAATCTTATGGCCCCAGTGCACCCCTTTGAACCCTGTGATTGCGGTGCACTCCAGAGCCTTTTGTGTCATCTAGTTCCCCATGTTCCCATGTGTGCTCTTTATCACCTCTGTGACACCTGAGTCTCCCTGCAGTCTCTGACATGCCCCTGTATCAACTGGAATGTCCTTCTCAGTGGATATGAACCCCTACCCATGAAATGCTTTGGTGAAAGAAACAATATGATTGGTCAGTATGGCTTACTGTCCATTACACAATATACATCTTTGCAACATCTTATTATTCAGAGAACAAAGCAAGGCTACCTTCACATAGGACTTACCCATTTGGGTGTCTCTCCAGCTCATTAAGAACAGTTTGGTCACAATATTCGAAGACCAGGTGGAGTTTCCTCTTCCTGCGGAAAACCTCCAGCAGATTCACCAAATTGCTATGTTTTAGTTGCTGGAATGAACAAAACATTAGGTTAAAGGGCAACTCCAGACAAAACATGGAGAGTGGAAGGGACAGAACCTCTGTCAAGTTTTATTCAGTAGTATGTGTCCCATTTGGGAGCTTGACTGTTCCTGTCTGGGTCTTTGCACATTCTCCAGGTTTTCTACTGAGTGCCCTTGATGCCCTTTACAATAATTGTTGACATCATCCCAAATACGATTCTTTAAAACAAACATATTTCAGTCTTGGTCATCCTTTCTTACTATTAACTACATTTTCCCCTCACAATTCCCTAGAACTGTGTTGGAATACAGAACCCTTCCCCTTAAGCTATGGAGATGAGGAAAACAGGAATGGTTCTGTAGTCCAGCAGGGGAGAACTCAAGGAGGGCTAACACTGGTAGAATCTGAAGGTAAGAAAATACAATGGTGACCAATGAGATTTGGTTTCATTTTCTAATCTGCACCAAGAAAAAAATAAAATAAAAGCTAGAATCAAATTTGTTGGCCTTTTCATTCCCAATTTTCCCTGCCAAAAGCACATATGGATCAGGGAAGGTCCTCACCTTCAACATACGTATTTCACGTAAAGCTATCTTTTTAATAACCGGATCATCCTCGGACTCCACAAACTTTTTGATAGCCACCACTTGACCGGTCTCCTTGTTCCGACACTTGAACACCACTCCATACGATCCTTCACCGATCTTGGCCAGCTTCTCATATTTCTCCATGGCGGGAATGGTGTATCAGGTCAACTGTTAAAAAACACCATGAACCAGGTCAGCAGGGTTCATATGTTGACACTTATGGAAAGCCACATAGAAATGTTGGTTAGCAGCTTGTGCAGCTTAGAGTCCTGGTGCCCAAACTGCAGCCCTTTAGTACTGACTGTGTGACCCCCTTAGGTTCCACCAGGATGTAGTTAGTGGTTTACTTACTTAGGTGCTTGCATAAAGAAAGTTAAAGCTGAATTCCAGGTATGGCTCTTTTTACATGGTTACATTGTTCTGGCGTGGACCAATGTAACTGTACATATACCATATGTAGCCAGGTGCTTGGCTAACAATGGAGAGCAAAAGAAACACTGGTTGCAGCTGCTCTCTGTAGCTGTTGCCCTGCAGTGCTGAACTGGTTACCAGCTATATCAGCAAGAGCAGGGAGCTGCTGAGCAGGAAGAGTTCAATAGACTGAGTCAGGCAGGAATGCACTGTACTGTAATCAAGAGCTTTTGAACTGCATTTCAGGAGGAAAAATGCCAGGTGGAGGGGAAAGAGCTGCATTTTCACAAGTTGTACACGACACAGCTTCCTTTTTGCCACGAGGGAGAATAGAGAGTGCACATCAATGTCCACTGTGCATCATCACTGCGGCATATCAGCCACCTGAGTGGGATCTGGAGCCTTGAGTTTGGGGGTGCGGACAGCAGAGAGCAGGGGCTGACCATTTGGAAACTCGGGCACTGCCCAAGTAGGGGGCCCCATGAGATGCCCCTGGTACCTTTTTCATAGGTTTTTTTGAGTTTGGGCAAGGACACAGGGGCCCCATGATCCCCTATTGCTGGGGGCCCCCCCCCATGAATTGTCAGACTGCCCCTGACAGAGAGTGGACTAATTGCTGTGTGTGATGCTGCAAGGTCACAGGGACTACTGAGCAGTTGCTGTGGGGATCACTATCTGCTTCTGACCACTCAGCCATCTAGTAGCCTCATTGCTGCCTGCAGGCTTGACTGGGAATATTCTCATGTGCACCAATGGTTCAATTGGACCCCAACACTAGCCTGCTGAAGAGTTAGGCCTAAAGACTGCCCCTTTACAGCTGCTACAGAGAGACCTTTATCTATTGCATATGCTAAGAGGGGGACGTTGCACCATATCCTAGCCATTCTCCTGGAGTGCACTCTAGACTACTTATAGTAATACTTATATGCATCGTTTATTGCTGCCTTTGCTGATTCATGAGTTAATCCCAGTCTAGTGGTACAGATCTCTATTCTAAATTACCTTGGCAGATGGATTATACTGTCTATGTCTAGCGGACTGTGTATGAACCTACCTTCTGTGCGCTCACCTATGTGCACACCGCCATTTATTCTAACCCGTATCAATACATTGAGTTTATTTACCTCTAAACTAACTTGTGTGCATTTCCTGCTCCTAATTCACAGCTGAGTTAAAGGCTAACAATGGAGAACTCATGTTCTTCTTAGTGCTTGCAGTAGCTTTCATTCAACCAGGTGTGTCAGAGGAGCTGAGGTTGTTCTTGGAGTTGAGGCGCAAAACAGAGAACCCAAATTATTAAGCGGCTCCTTCGAGGGTAGTGCTACACATACCTGTGGGATCCCTCAATTGTCTGCAAAGCATTCTCTGAATGGCACCCATGCTGAGTGGCCAACCTCCTGTGTTCACAATGCAAGGGACCCGTAAGCTAGTGGAGATCACTGGAGTAGTGGTGTCTATATAGTGATTTCCAGCTTGTAGAGGGATCCCACAGGTATGATATGTACATTGTTACAGTGGTCGGATCTGGAACAATGTAACTATGTAAGAATATCCATCCATGGAAGTCTTTTTTAGGGAAATACTCATTAACTTTGAGTCTCCCACTGAAGCTTTTTTATTTTACACTTCATTACTTTTTTGTCCATTCTTTTTTTCCCAGTGCCGTAATTTTTTTCCTCTACCATTTTATAATGGATCTTCCTTATCTCCGGTTCACACATGTGCGTTTTGTGATACAATTAGAGAGTGCGAATTTACATGACAAGTCAAAGTGAATGTGTTCCTATTGAGAGCGTTCAGATACACTATATTGCCAAAAGTATTGGGCGCCGGCCTTTCCACGCACATGACCTTTAATGGCCCCCCAGTCTTAGTCCGTAGGGTTCAATATTGAGTTGGTCCCGCCCTTTGCAGCTATAACAGCTTCAACTCTTCTGGGAAGGCCGTCCACAAGGTTTAGGAGGGTGTCTATGGGAAGGTTGGACCATTCTTCCAGAAGCACATTTGTCAGGTCAGGCACCGATGTCGGGGGAGGAGGCCTGGCTTTCAGTCTCCGCTCTAATTCATCCCAAAGGTGTTCTATGGGGTTGAGGTCAGGACTCTGTGCAGGACAGTCAAGTTCCTCCACCCCAAACTGGCTCCTCCATGTCTTTATGGACCTTGCTTTGTGCACTGGTGTGCAGCCATGTTGGAACAGGAAGGGGCCATCCCCAAACACTTCCACGATGTTGGGAGCATGAAATTGTCCAAAATGTCTTGGTATGCTGACGCCTTAAGAGTTCCCTTCACTGGAACTAGGGGGCCAAGCCCAACACCTGAAAAGCAACCCCACACCATAATCCCCCCTCCACCAAACTTTACACTTAGCACAATGCAGTCAGGCAAGTACCATTCTCCTGGCAACCGCCAAACCCAGACACATCGGAATTGCTAGACAGAGAAGCGTGACTGGTCACTCCAGAGAACACGTCTCCACTGCTCTAGAGTCCAGTGGCAGCATGCTTTACACCACGGCATCCGACGTTTTGCATTGCACTTGGTGATGGAAGGCTTGGATGCAGCTGCTCGGCCATGGAAACCCATTCCATGAAGCTCTCTACGAACTGTTGTTGGGCTCATCTGAAGGCCACACCAAGTTTGGAGGTCTTTAGCTATTGACTCTGCAGACAGTTGGTGACTTCTGCGCACTGTGCGCTTCAGCATGCGCTGACCCCGCCCTGTCATGTGACGTGGCCTACCACTTGGTGGCTGAGCTGCTGTTGTTCCCAGTTGCTTCCACTTTGTTATAATCCCACTAACAGTTGAGCGTGGAATATTTAGTAGCCAGGAAATGTCACGGATGGACTTATTGTACAGGTGGCAACCTATCACGGGACCACGCTTGGAGTCACTGAGCTCCTGAGAGCGACCCATTCTTTCACCAATGTTTGTAGAAGCAGTCTGCATGCCTAGGTGCTTGATTGTATATACCTGTGTCCATGGAGGGGATTGGAACACCTGAATTCAATGATTTGGAGGGGGAGCCAATACTTTTGGCAATATAGTATATATGCGGGAGAGCCCCATTGCGTTTTTTTGAAAAAGGGTCCTGTGCGTTTTTGGGACAGTGCGATTTGAAATTGCATCTATAGAGTTGTATGAGAACACAATGCGTAGCTTTGCTGTGGGAGTGTTCAGTGTAGGGTATTTCATAGCTTTTGATGAGACGTAAAATTGCATGACAAATGGATTGCTGTTCAAGCACAACCGCATGTGATATGCAGGGCAGAATCGTTCTACATAACTGAGCGAATTTCATGACACATATATGTGAACCTAGACTAAGACGAATATCAAATATGGTGTCAGTAAATTTTTAAAGCATTCAAATACCCCAAATGAAAAGGTAAACCTCTTACACAGGAAATGTAATACATTAATATTTATTATAGAGGGCTTTAAAGTAACATTAAATGATATTCCTATTCTCCAGAAATAATCCATACACATCCGCTATTTAATAGTCCTGTAATCTATTTTTCATGACTTTTTTTTTTCTAAGGGTTCATGTACACTTGCGGTTGGGGGTGGCACAGTACAGTAAAACCCCATGGCTGAGCTTTGGTTTTACCCCCCATCGACCGTTTAGCTGCAGAGCTAGTGGCTGGGGATGTACACGTCATGATCATTTGTGGCAGAAATGATACCTCCTGTTGCATTACTGTCTGCCGGACGTGACACATTCATGTGAATGAGGCTACACTATACCTGCCCCGTAACAGCGCACAACTCACATGGACGCGTCGCTGTAGTCCAGAATTTAGGAGGTTAAAGAAGGCAGCGAGGAGGCGATACAACACTCACCGCCTGTCAAATGCTTTCTGAAGAGCATTCAAAATGCAGTTCACTCTTCAGAGAGCAAAGCAAGTGAAATGAGGCCTTACTGTGTTTTTTGGAAATCTGAAGGAGGATCAATAGAAGGGACTTTTATTGCGTTATGAATATGACGAGGGGTGGGCAAGAGGGACAACTGCCCTGGGCGCCAAGGAGATTTTGGGGGTTGTGCTACAACGGGTGATCTGGAGGGGGAAATTTGTACTAGGTGGGCAGATTTCTGTTACGAAGGGCAATTTGAGGGGGGGGGGGTTGATTTGTGGTAGAGGGCATGATTGGAGGGATTAGTTCAAGGAGAGGAGATTTGAGGGTGGGGGATTGTACTTGGAGAGTGGGATTTGGAGGGGTGGGAAAGGATTTATGCTCAAAATGTAACGGGTGGAGGATTCGTGCTAGAAGGGGAGATTTTGGGGGGAGGATTAGTTCAAGGAGAGGGGTTTTTGGGGGGGAATTGTCTTGGGAGAGTGAGAGGGGGAGTTGGAGGGGGAAGAGGATTTATGCTCAGAGGGGAAGGGGTAGAGAATTTGTGCTAGAAGGGGAGATTTGGGGGGAGGGAGGATTAGTTCAAGGAGAGGGAATTTATGGGGGGGGGGGGTTGTACTGGGAGAGAGAGAGTTGGAGGGGGAAAAGGGTTTATGCTCAGAGGAGAAATGTAAGGGGTAGCGGATTCGTGCTAGAAGGGGAGATTTGGGGGGAGGGATGATTAGTTCAAGGAGAGGGGATTCGGGGGGGGGGGGGGATTGTACTGGGAGAGGGAGAGTTGGAGGGGGAAGATGATATATGCTCAGAGGGGAAGGGGTAGAGGATTCGTCCTAGAAGGGGAGATTTGGGGAGGGAGAGGATTTGAGCTGGGAGGGGGGGATTTGTACTTGAAGAGGGGGAATTTTTGTTTGGGGAGAATTTTAGCTTGCAAAGGGATTTATGCTTAGGGGGTAAGTGTGAAGATTAGGGCTTTAATTTTTTTTTTGTGAGTGGGGGTAGGGAGGGGATTTTTTGCTAACACATTATGCTCATACTTTTTGTTTTTGGGGTGGGGGGGGGGGGGCAACGTTTGGCATCTTTACTGTGAGTGTGAGATGTCCTTTCCCAGTGTTAAGAATAGAACTGATTTCTTCCACCGGAGTTTAATGTGATATTAATATTCATGTCTGTATTAGGCAAACCTCGTACCCGTCATTTGCATCTCATTCCCTGCAGTGAGTGAAGAGGACGATACGGCTTTATGGGAATAATTAGATAACAATTCCACAGAGGATTCTGCAAACAACGTCACGGCGTAAAAAGTCATCAAAATGCATGTAATGAGCAGATATCCAGAAATCTGTGACACGAATGCCATGGACCAGTCCTGTTCTCACACTCGCTGATCTCACTGTGTATTTACCTGGGATGGATAAACTCCGGATCAATATTTGCCGTGGCTCAGAACAGACCGCAAGCAGCGCGACTCCTCTCAGGATATGAAAAATGTTACATTGTGATACTGAGCCGGACGAGGAGAGATCACAAAGGATCTTGAAATATTACAAAGCAAACTTATTAGGGTCATACGGCCGGCTGAGAGAGCAAAGATGTTCATTTCACAGAAATCACTCCTCCCAGTATATGAATGTTTACAAAAACGACAACAGGGGACTGAGCGAACAATTCCAACTCATTGAATAATTTACGCTCTGATGTGAAGGGTGATATCTGGACCATTAAAGTGTTACTGAGCCCACAACAGTACAATCAGTCTGTAGATGCAGTAAAGCATGCTTGTTATACTCACTGTGGAACCTAAGGGGTTAATCCTCTGCATTGTGTAAAGAAGGCTGTTTGATCCTGTCTTCTCTGATCCTCCCCTTCTTCTACTGTCCCTAGTCCATCTGCTGATAGAACAGAGTCTTGGGGGCAAGCTGCACATGCTCAGTTTGGTGTGTATTGCTAGAGTTATTTTTATGGGGGGGGGGGGGGAGTGCATGTGATCAGCACAGGGCCATTCAGCACTGTCCAGAGAGAGGGTCAGGGGTTATGTAGCCTCATAAGACAATCAGAGCAGAATTTTCCTCCTACAAGCATTAACCAGTGCTCAGCTGTATACTGACAGAAGTCACAGGACTGCTCTAACTGCTGATGAGAAAAAGTATTTAGCGATTAATATTTACTAAGATAATTGCATTTCCATGTTCTGTGTACTGTGGGAGACCAGATATAGTGAATGCAGGGACCGGGGAGACCAGATATAGTGAATGAGAGGTCCTAGGAGACCAGATATAGTGAATGCAGAGTCCGGGGAGACCGGATATAGTGAATGCGGGGTCCGGGGAGAGCAGATATAGTGAATGCAGAGTCCGGGGAGACCGGATATAGTGAATGCAGGGTCCGGGGAGAGCGGATATAGTGAATGCAGGGTCCGGGGAGAGTGGATATAGTGAATGCAGGGTCCTGGGAGAGCGGATATAGTGAATGCAGGGTCCGGGGAGACCAGATATAGTGAATGCAGAGTCCGGGGAGAGCGGATATAGTGAATGCAGGGTCCGGGGAGAGTGGATATAGTGAATGCAGGGTCCTGGGAGAGCGGATATAGTGAATGCAGGGTCCTGGGAGACCAGATATAGTGAACGCAGGGTCCGTGGAGAGCGGATATAGTGAATGCAGGGTCCGGGGAGAGCGGATATAGTGAATGCAGAGTCCGGGGACACCGGATATAGTGAATGCAGGGTCCAGGGAGACCGGATATAGTGAATGCAGGGTCCAGGGAGACCAGATATAGTGAATGCAGGGTCCGTGGAGACCAGATATAGTGAATGCAGGGTCCGTGGAGAGCATATATAGTGAATTCAGGGTTCGTGGAGAGCGGATATAGTGAATGCAGAGTCCGGGGACACCGGATATAGTGAATGCAGGGTCCAGGGAGACCGGATATAGTGAATGCAGGGTCCAGGGAGACCGGATATAGTGAATGCAGGGTCCAGGGAGACCAGATATAGTGAATGCAGGGTCCGTGGAGAGCATATATAGTGAATTCAGGGTTCGTGGAGAGCGGATATAGTGAATGCAGGGTCCAGGGAGACCAGATATAGTGAATGCAGGGTCCAGGGAGACCAGATATAGTGAATACGGGGTCCAACCAACCAGGTGCATTCTGCATCGAGGCGGTTGTAGCGCTGAATGAGTTGTGATCAGCAGGTGGTAGTTCCCACCAAACACAACAGGGGGTATAATTGCTGTCACGGCCATGACATATGTACATCTCTGGCTACTCTCTGCCCAGCTAAAGTGGTAGCTGTTGATGGGCGCTAAAAACATGGCTCAACCACAGAGTTTCACCTCCCCTCCAACTGGAAGTGTAAATTAGCCATTGCATTGAATTACAGCAGCTGCTCAGCCAATACACAAAGCAATGACAGCGGCCGCAGCTGTCCACCTGTATTTAGAAGTGCACATGGAGCGATGATCGCGGGACCAGGGGTGGACTGACCATTTTGAAACTCGGGCATTGCCCGAGGGCCCGGGGTCAGTAGGGGGCCCCATGAGATGCCCCTGATACCTTTTTCATAGGGTTTTTCGAGTTTGGGCAAGGACACAGGGGCCCCATGATCCCCTATTGCCCGGGGGCCCCATGAGTTGTCAGTCTGCCCCTGCCCTGGATGCAAAGACCTTGCACCCATGGGCGATTGTTTGTCTCTAACTGCAGTCAATGGCTACATGAGCGAAGATATCTGAACACCAGCAGACAGCTGTGGCCGCTGTCAGTCTGTCATTGCCTTGCACTGGATATTAGTCCACATACGCAGTCGGCGCTAAAACCCAGTGTTAGGACAGGTTCACACCTCTGCGTGTTGTGTTTGATGAGTTTTCCAGCGCGTTTTGCATTTTTGAACACTTTTTTTTATACGTTTTTGCATTTTTTTGCCAACAGTAGAGTATTGACTTTGATGCGGCTTTGGATGGGAGTGTCTTTGATGCACTTGGATGCTGCTTGAGTGCTAGAGAGTGTAAAGTCGCACTACATGAATAGAACTGACACACCCATCCAAAGTCACATCAAAGTCAATACTCTCCTATTGCCAAAACGCATCAAGAACGCACAACATGTGTTTCTGCTGAATGTCCATTGAAGTCTATTGCACCAAAAACACACCATGTTGCGTTTAAAAAAGTCCCTGACCCTTTCCATATAAACCCGCAGTGGCTGAAAATCGCGGAGATTAGAGACATTAAATGGACTGTAGTGCGTTTCTGCAGAATGCACAGGTGTGAACCAGGCCTCAGTGACTTCTATGTGCTGCCCATCTGTGATCTGCAATGGATCGTCTTTCAGTGTATGACAGGCAGCGAAGAGGCAATATCTTGCCTCCTCACCGCCTGTTTTAACCCCTACAATGGAGAATAATTAAATGAAATTCAACATTTAGAGGCACTGTGTTCCTTTCTCTCCTTTAACCCCTAAAAGCCCGCACTGCCACACCGTCACAGGTGCATTGCCATGTTGTCGTTCAGCAGCATGGATATTGAGGTACCAACAGGGGCGGACTGACCATTTGGAAACTCGGGCACTGCCCGAGGGCCCGGGTCAGTAGGGGGCCCCATGAGATGCCCCTGGTACCTTTTTCATAGGCTTTTTTGAGTTTGGGCAAGGACACAGGGGTCCCATGATCCCCTATTGCCCGGGGGCCCCATGAGTTGTCAGTCCGCCCCTGGGTACCAATATGCCATTTAATTATTTTTATGTGTACTACCCTGAGCAGCTGCATGCCCTTGCTTAGAGGGATGATCACTGGGGAGGGGGCAGCCACTTCACTTTATTGCCTTCTGTCCCCCGAATGAACAAGTCCCAACCAATAGGAATATGTTTAGTAAACTCGAATACGCGGGAATTCGTTCGATGTAATATCAACTGAAGCGACAGGCGCAATTCCCAAAGTTTAACGCAGAGAAAACACGCTTCAATTGACTCACATGACTGGAATTTTCACATCTCATTGGACTCGTTCATTTTAAAAAACAAAAACATGTCTTTCCGGTGGCGTGTTAGCGTTGTGAATCGAGCGCCATGTCTACAAGCAACACCAAGCCGGCGTGACACCATTAGCACATGAGAATGATAAATGTGATGGAATACGTCACCGACACAGGCTGGAGAGGTCTCAGACGAGGTGTATATCCTCCAGACGGCGATGAGGTCCCGCTGTCACCTGCTGCATCCCCACAGCCTGTGACTGTTAATCCTCCACCTGCCAGCGTGCCTGTAATGGGAGTCTATGGGTTGCCGGGGGCAACCATGAAAAGGCTTCCCTGAGCAGCACTAGGCCGTGCAGCCCTCCTCCTCCTCCCTCCATGGCCCTGTGTTTACAAAGTCAGCCAAGGAGTTTCCATGGTGACACCAGCAGTGGCTCAGGGGCCTTCCCTCCTCTTCGAATATTCAGTGCATGACCAGCACTAATTGCTGACGAGGAAATTCACTCTCGGCCCTCGGGTCGCCCTATTGTGTAAATGCCTCGTGTTATGTGTAGTCACCTCAGTGATGGGAACACTAGTAGTTTGTATACTGAAAACAGGCGCTTGTGATTATTAAGGGCCCAGAAACTGCGTTTTTTTTTTTTTGCATTAATATGCGTTTGACGTGTTGACGTGCGTTTGTGATGCATTTTTCCCAAACTTTCCCGCACCGCACCTGCTGTGAAAAAGCCTTAAGCCCTGGTTCACACCGTCGTGACTTGTCATGCGATTTCACAGTTCCAAACCGCATGACAAAAATCACCTTTATTTGTGCTTATGGAACCGATCAAATCGCTGCGACTCTGACTTTGCGGCGCAGCGCCAATTTTAAAAAAAGGTTCCTGCGCTATTTTTGCCGATTTCATGTGCGAATTGCATAGATATCTGTGCGTGAAGTCGCATAGATGTCAGGCAAGCAGCACATGAAATCGCACTGACCAGCGGCTTTGAAATTGTGCGCTCAAATTGTGCGATTTCAAAGCCGCATTTAGTGCAAACCAGGGCTTTTCTGCTTGCATCCGCTATGAGGACATCTCTTTCCTCTTTGGGGATTTATGTGCGCTACGATGCGTTGCATTTATACACATTTGCATGGTGAAAAAATTCTTTTTTTTTCACTGCACCATACAGCAATAATGTGAACTATGCCCATTACATAACATGGATTTTGGACAGTACATGCAGTGGGAATGTGATATAAAACGCATCGAACTGCACCTTGGTGTGAATGGGCCCTAGGGGCTCGTTCTCATGCGTAGCAGCCCTTGCCGCCCCTCTGAAAATCAATTTGGGGCCTGTGCTGGACACGCCTGAATGGGTTATGCTCGGCTGCAGTACCATGGGCATTCAGAGTCGGCAAAGCCATGGCTCAACTGCCTGCTCTTACCGCCCTCCAACTGCCTGTGTAAATGAGCCCTAAAACGCATATATTTCCTCATTGATATAGCTTTTTCCAGAACACTTCAGAGTTCGTTCACACTCTCAGCGCTGGACTGCCTTTTCCAATGTAGTTCCAACACGAGGACAAGGCAAATCTCACAGGCCGCATATCCCCTGCTTTACAATTCAAGCCAATGGCTGTCAGTGCGCACAATAAGGACATTTTGTATTTTTTGCAGCATGCTGTGATCTGATGCGCCGCCATAAGGGTTTGTTCAGACATCCTTCAAGGACGGCTGCTTCTCTGAAAAGCGATCCTTGCCCAGATCACTGTTCAGAGATGCCTGATCTAACCCTTTAAATGTCGCACTACTGTGCCGCAGTTGCATGCTGTGCACCAGATCGCAGGGCGACCCCATAGATCCATGTTAGTTGTGTTTGTCCGGAGCAATTTTTGCAGTAACGGCATCACGGCCGCAGCATGTCTACATCCCTCAGCAATTGTGTGTCACCATGCAGGGTGGGGGCAGTAAAACCACAGCTCAGCTCTTGCTTTGTTTTACAGTTTTTCCCAATAGCGACTGTCCGTCTCTTTTGCCTGTTTTGTTGCTGCACTTACTTAGGAATGAAATTCAGATTCACATCTGTGCGGGTGGTGGCGCTGCAGATCCGCACAAAAATCTGTGCAGCTGCACCACCCACACACAGGAATGCGGACCCACGGGCGGGTGTTGTTACTTCTAATGGCACGCCGCCCGCACTGGAAAACGCAACCGTACTGGGAACCGAGGTTCCCGTGCGGGCTGCTTTTCCGAAGAAGTGCAGGGACTTCTTCTCTGCGTGTCATGGGGCACGGAAGTCCATTCAAATGAATGGGCTCTCGTGCCTGTGCAAAACGCGGCCCGCGCGGCCGCATATATGTGAAACGGGGGTCAAGACTGAAGGAACGATCTTTAAATGCGCAGATATGTTTCTTTTCATAGCAATTTATACCCAAAAGCGCATGCAAAATAAATGTCCCGAAGCCCTGGTTCACACCAGTGTGGCTTTGAAATCACGCTACTTCAGCATGATTTCAAAACTGCAGATCACTGCGATTTGTACCTCCGATTTCACTGCGGCTTGTGACTTCATTTACTCTAGCTCAGGGGCGGACTGACCATTTAAGCACTCGGGCACTGCCTGAGGGCCCGGGGTCAGTAGGGGGCCCCATGAGATGCCTCTGGTACCTTTCATTGACTGTTTCATAGGGTTGAGTTTGGGCAAGGACACAGGGGCCCCATGATCCCCTATTGCCCGGGGGCCCCATGAGTTGTCAGTCCGCCCCTGCTCTAGCTGCGCATCGGTGGTACGATCGGTGGTGCACTTGTCCCTCGGACACAGGAGATCAACGATCGCGGCAAAGAGCTGATGACGTCGGCTCCACAGCTCTACCATGTGAGCGGCTGTGTCCACATCAAACATCTCAAGGATGATCAGTGGGAACAGAGCTCGATTTTGAGTGTCATGGCAAAGGCTGGGAATACTTATGTACACGGGGTTATTTTTTTATTTTTAATAAATTGCAACAATTTCAAAATTAACTTCTTTCATGTTGTGATGATGGGGTATTGTTTGTAGAATGTTGAGGGAAAAAAATGAATTTAATCCATTTTGGAATAAGGCTGTAACATAACAAAATGTGGCAAAAGTCAAGCGCTGTGAATACCTTCTAGATACACTGTAGGGACCT